AGAAAAGGCACTGAGAACTCACATCCCCTCTTCCAGAGCATTTTGTAAGCATCAGCGCACTTGATTTTGGAAGAGGGAAAGGTGGAAGTTCTCCTGTAGGTGAAGATGTTGGTATGTGGCACCACAAGTCTGTACCCTGGATGCTTTCCTGGGAGCTGTAAGCCTGTACCTGCATATGGCATGATAGCAGTGTCTCTTGGAGCATGAAATATATGTATCAACTATCTCATTATTTGTGATTTTCTTTACAGGCACATTTTCTTTTTGTGAGCAGAAGAGATGTATTTGAAAAATGGAAGATTATGGTGTAGCTTAAACTAACTGCATAAATATCAGTGAGGACAGAGTGTTTCCTTGGAAAATAAGTAGGGTTCTCTGTGCAACAAGGATGCCAAGGTCCTGTCCTTGGTGACTCCAGGTGGTTCTGCAGTCACCAGGAGGACACGGTGTAGGGCTCTGATGACCTCGGGAGTGCTCCTCAGGGCTGCGGCCTGCCTGCAGCCTTGCTGCTCCTTGTTTGCTTTTTTGTCCCCTTTTGGCTTCATAATCAGGTGAGTTCCCATCTGAAGGGACCTTGCACTGTCCTCGTGCCATCTCTTTTCATAGGTACCTGCTCTGTCTGGGGGATCAAGTGTTCCATCTTCTCTGAGCTGATTTATTTAAGCTGCTCCCTGAGCCTCTGGATGGACATCAGGCTCTGAGGCAGAAGTTTTGGTGTGAGCTGCACCAAATGTGGGCATCAGCCTCTGCTGTGGCCACTGGTGAGGTGCAAAGGCTGCAGGGTGGCTTCTCCCAGGCTTTGCATTCCAGGTGTAGCAAACCTGCTACCTTTCACCTTTGCAAGCTTATTTTCTGCTTCTTCTTTGTGGAAGATTGAATGAAAGGTGGGAGCCCAGGATGGCCATTAAATGAGGAGACTCCCTGGCAGGCTGGGTTATGTGCACTGCCTCAGCCAGTCAGGACAGCTGGGGCTGTCCCCTGAGTGCAGGGACAAGCAGTGGCTGTGTCCATGCAGCTCCAGGCCTGGGACAGCCTTCATGCACCAGAGAGGAGCACAGGAGAGAAAAGGGCTGGGAGCGGTGGAACTTCAGCTGCAGGGGGGATGCGCTGTATGAAAAATAAACTGTCAAAACAAGGAAACAGAGTGTTTGAAAACAAAACCCCAGAGTTTAATTTGGGGATTTGAGAAGGGATTTGTGCAGCTGTGCCTGTGGAAGCTATTTGTGCCCCTTGGGCCTGGAGGCAGTGCCAGGGCTGGAGAGCCAAGCCTGCTCCTGTGAGTTGCTGGTGGGAGGACATTTACTTTCTCTGAGGTCTGCTCCTCCTGCCAGCCTGCCCTGCTGGGATGCTTGGAAAACCCATTGTCATCTGCTAATAATTATTTAAATCCGTGAGGATCCTGTTCCTGTGTGTGTTTACCAGGCCTGGGGCTCATGCTGCACCCTGCTCTGCTCTCAGATGCTGTCGTGCCTCTGCTGCCATTGCACACAAAAACAAGGCATGAGCAGACTGGAAAATACTCAAGGCTGTTTAGCAGAAACGACATGAATTCAGTGTACAAAGCTGCATGTTTATAGATTAAATGGCTGAAAGCATTTTAACAGATGAATGCTTTAAAGTTTCTATGCAGGTCTTTTTATCTGGATGAGTGTGGTCTGGTGGCTGTGAATGCCGGCTTGGCTCAGCTCTGGCTGGAACCAGCAGCAGCCAAATGACAGTGCAAGGGGACACGAGGATGTGCCCAAAGTGGGCAGTCGTGCCCTTTGCTGAGCATGGGTCTGGCCTTTTGGTGGGAGTCACAGAACTTCATCCGGGCAGGAGCACCACAGCTGCACTGAGGGGAAGCCAATTAAACTTAATATTGCATTATAAAATGTCATGCACAGGTAATGCTGTTTTAAAGGCAGAGATCCCCCCTGATAACATCAGAGGGTCTCAGAAATGACAATACTTGAAATGGCTGGGGAGGGTTCTGTGTCACCTGTGAGTGCTGGCTCAGTTCTGGTCTCAACACCCTCCTGAGCGTCACAGACGTGCCGATTTTGGACAGAGCATCATGAAGGTGCAAACCCCCTTTCTTCAGGGAGTAAGGGACCAGAGCTCTGGGGCTCCTGTGTGGATGAGCTGGGGGTGTGTGGCAGCTGCCATCATTGTGTCCTGGTCTGCCGTAGGGCAGTTGCGCCATGGCTCTTTTCAAGCAGCCTGTGCCAGCTTTTTCTGAGATGGAAACTTCCTTTGTGGACAGGGAGAAGTGGTTGGCTCCTCTTTCACCAGTGCCTTCTCTTGGCTTTCTGGGGATGTTGTGAAATGTGGCTGTTTGGTGAAATTTAACTAATGACAAACAAATGCTTCATCACATGATAGTTCCTACTCCCCAGAAATATTTGCGTGTGCGGGGAGCTCAGCAAATCCTCCATTTCCTTACAGAACCCTTCTGAAACGAGAGTAAAACTCATCTTAGAGCTGTAGAAGAGATACCAAGGTTGTTTTTCCCTGCCCCCAAAGGCCACCAAGCTGCTCTGTGGCAGCCACGACCTTGGCCTTGGGGGCAGCTCTGTCTCCGTCGTCGCCGTCGCCGTCCCAGTTGTGTCTGCCCCGGCCGCTATCGCCCTGCTTGGGGCTCTGCACCAGGGCTGACACTTGCCACACTTTGTGCCAACTGCGAACCCCCTGCAGTTGTTTTGGTCTGACCTGAGCACTCTTGTGGCTCTGAGGGCCAGCACAGCCCCATAGAGTACAAACTTCCAGCCAGAGTCCCTCCTGTGCCCTCAGCGGTGGCGAGAGGCTGTGGCACTGCTGTGCACTGGCACCTTGGGGCAGGTGGCACCTGGGGCTTTGCCCAGAGTGCTGCCAGCCCTGCAGCTTCTCCAGGCACCTCTTTGGCTCATTGGCCTGTGTTGTGTATTACCTTCACGTTTTGAGAACACCCTGTAAATGTCCCTAGGAAACTGGGAAATGGATTGTTAAGGGAACCATTAGCATAGCTCATTCTGAGTTGCTAGAACATTTTCACATTATGTTTTTCTTGCAATTCTCTCTCTAAAAATAAAAAAGAAAAGGCAAACTGGTGCTGTTTTGAAGTCAAGGGCATTCCTGGGCAGATGCTTCGGCTCTGGGCAGTGGATGCTGGCAGGGAACCCTGTTGGTGCTGCAGGGCCTGTGGTAGAACCACTCCCCACCTGCCTGAACACCATCTCCTGCCCCTTGGGGTGTGGGGCTGTGCACACCCTGCCAAGCCTTGCCCCAGGAGGAGCCTGTCCCACGGCCAGGTCTCACCTTCCATGTCAGCCAGTGTCCTGCAGTCTCCATCTGTTGGTGGCAGTGGGGACAAGGGTGGCTGAGCATGGAGGGGTGTGCAGGCAGCCCTGCCCAGCCCCGTCCCTGGCAGGGGCACATGCATGGAGTATTCTGGATGCACACCTGCTGGAAGGTATTTCTGCAGTTGCACAAATCTCTCCATACATGAGCAGCTCTTTAAAAGCTGTTTCAGAAGCCACTCAATTGCAAACCTGCTTTGCAGTTTCAGATAATTAATCCTCAAAAACACCCCAGGGTCCTCTGGGAGTCCCATGTCTATTGTCACGACACCTGCTGCTCATGGCACACAGTGCAGAGCGTGGGGGAGACACAGGGGAAGCCTGATGGAAACAGGGAAATGAGCACTGCTGGATTTCTGACTGCACAGAGAGGAGAAAAGAGGTGTTGGGCCATTAGCAGGAAAGCCTGTTATGTGTGAACCTAAAACACACTGGATAAATAAGACATTTTTAGCCAGGCTTTTCTATGTGCTGCTGGTATTCCTCAGCAGGGCCTGCTCTCCAGCAGCCCCTCTCACCCAGTGCAGGGCTCTGGAGCACATGGGGGGATGTGGGAGCACCAGGAGGGCAGGTGGGATGCCATGTAAGACAAGAAAGGAACGTGTTTTTTGTAACAGGATTTGACTATGGCAGGCACGGTGCAGCCAACTGTGTCTCCTCCATTTAATCAGTAATTCCAGAAAAGCCTTGGAAATGGAGACGGCTGGGGAAGGCTGGTTGAGCTGCATCCACACATAAGTCACTGATTGCTCCTGTTAAAGAGATGAGAAATCACTCAGAAGTTTTCTACCATAAGAACTGAGGATTAAATTGCTGTTCCAGTTATTGAGGTGGGATCTGCACAGCTCCCAGGTGAGGGACAGGCAAGGACAGTGGGGCTTTTCTGGATGTAAAGGTTTTTTCAAGAAGTCCCATCTTTGTCACACTGTTGATGTAACCTGATTTCTCAGAGCTCACCTACAAGCAATAAACAATGCCAAAAATGAAAGGGGATCTAATTTTATGAAAAAGTTGCTGTGACTTGGAGACTGTTAAAAGCTAATTGCCTCATTCAGTGGTTGCAGATAAATGAGTTCTGGTAATTAACTCAACGTGCTGGTGCTTCCCAAACTGCCTGGACATGTTGGCTCCTGATTTGGATAAGCCCCTCTCCTCCTACCATGCCCTCTGGAAAAGCAGTTTCTCCAAGGATCTGATCAAACAGATCAGATCAGGCTGGGGAGGGGACAGTACCAGCTGAGAGAGGAGAATCTGGGTGTGTGGAATGGTGAGGTGTTGGAGAAGGGGAGTGCGGTGCTGGGACATTTTGGCATGGTGGTTAACGTGACATCGAGTGGTTGGCAGTGTTGTGCTCTGCCTTGTTTGGTGCATGAGCTTCATTACTGAAGCCAAAATTCCATGAGCACTGCAACAGCCAGTCTCAGTCACCTTCTGTGCCTAGGCTGTGCTGTCACTGTGGGTCACTGTCACTGTACTTTGTCACACTTTGTCACACACTGCACGCAGTGGGCAGGGTCTCTCATGGTCAGGGCCAGGCTTGGCTCAGTTGTTGCTTTGCTCACCCTCTTGCTGCTCAGTGCTTGGCTGATCCATCCCTGCAGTTCTGCCATGACCCTGCTCCCCTCAGCTTGCCCTGAGCACATTTGCTGACCCTTCTCTTGTCCTCTCTGCCTTATGCTGCAGGTTGGAGCCGGGCCGTGACCATGTCCTGCCCATTGATTATTACTTCCCACCTCAGAAGACCTGTCTGATCTGTGGAGATGAAGCATCTGGGTGCCACTACGGAGCCCTGACATGTGGGAGCTGCAAAGTGTTCTTCAAACGGGCAGCTGAAGGTAATGGGGACAGGAAAGGGAAGGTCACTGCCCCACTGTGGTGGCATTCTAAGATTTCTTAAACCAGGAAGGGAGAAAAATCAAAGATAAATTGATTTTCCTCTCTGGAGTTTGTAATTTCATTTTACAGATTGTTCTCAAAAAGTATCCAAACCAGTTTGCCAAAATATAATTCTTTCCATTGAGCAACCTCATCTCTGAGAAGGTGTCCCTGCCATGGCAAGGATGTGGCCCAAGATGGTCTTTAGGGTCCCTTCCAACCCAAATGTTTCTGTGATTCCATGATTATCTTAGTGACCTGGTGAGAGCCTGGAGCAGTCAGTTCCTGCTGCTCTTCTTGACTCCCCAGAGTGCTTTAAGCTCCCATCAGCCCACCTATGGTCTCAGATGCACAGGGGAGGCTTTTCCTCTCCTGCAGCCCTTCCAGAGGGTCCCTTCTGTGAGTGCCCACAAAACAGCACAGCCCTGTGTCCACCAGGAGCCCTGCTCTGACCTTGGGGTCTGTGATCCTTCTCCCCAGCCCATGAGAAAGCAACTCCTTCATGTCCAGCTCCATAGTGTCAGGGTCTCCAGGGATAAATGTGAGCCCAAATGTTCCCTCTCAACAGCAAGGTCTTTGCAACTCCTTTCCTGGGGAATGAACAAGCAGAAGCTCCCAGCCCAGCTGTTTCCTGAGGTTGTGCCTCAGCAGTGGCTGGTTCCTACCTGCAGTTCAGAGTTGTGGTTCTTGGGCAGCAGGGAGAGCCTCTGGTGTGGAAGATGAACTGTCCAGCAGTGTAACGTGCCTGTGGTCACTCATCAGCCTTGCTGTCAGGAGAGATGAGCCAACACAAGCCATCATCTTTCCTTCTTGCTGATACAATTTATGTGGGCAGCTGTTGTCACTGGCTGTGGTGTCCTCTGGAGAGGGCGGGCAGCAGAAAGAGGACGGAGCTTCTGTCTCACCATGGCCTTCCCCTGTGCCCAACCTCTCCTGCCCATGAGCAGAGGTCCCAGGCTAGGGGTGCTCACCTGCTGTTGTCAGAATGTTGCTTCTACATCAATTAGATCAATTAGCATTATCCTGCCTCTTGTTGGAGTCGTGTTTCCCTCATTCCTCTGTGCCAGGAGCCAACTTGTCAGTGCTGGTTCAGGGAAGAATAGGGGCTGTGCCACAGGGGACATCAGTGTTGCCAAAAAGAGCAGTCAAACAATTAACAAATAGTTAACAAATTTTGCATATTTCTCCCAAGTAAATCATTTGCAGATCTGTCTCTGCTGCACACCAGCTCTGTGTCAAGCCAAGTGGGTTGGCTTGTGCAGCCAGAGTAAATAACAGATGCTTGTTTAAGTCAGCAAGTTATTGTTGATTTATAGTAAGTGGAGGCTTGGCTCTCAGTCAGATGAAGTGCTGCTGGAGTGCCTGTGTCTGCGGGTGTCTGTGGGAGCTGTGCTCCCCTGGCACCATAGTGGGTCACAGGGACCAGAGGTGCCCACGGGCAGAGGGGCAGCCTGGGCTGCTCTGAGGCATGTGCTGTGGAGCTGTTCCCTCTCCTGGTGGTGTTATATCATTGATTTAAATGTTAATTTTGGTCCTGTTGGGATTGGGCAGCAGCCCTTTGTCTTTCCTGAGGAGCCATATGTGTGGGCAGGGGGCTGCCAAATTGTCAGGCTTCATCTTATGCTACCCTGAGGTACATGGCTAAGTCTTTATTTTAGGGAAGTGACAATAAATTGTGCTCCTTTATAGGTACTGAATGCAGAGATGGCAGGTGGTGATTTCTGTTCTAACTTTTGGTGAGTTTCCAGACAGATCTCTTCCTTCTTCAAGCTGAGCAGCATTACTGAAAGCTGATATTTCAGCGCGTTCTCATGTTTTAAAGTCCATAAAATGCCTCTCAGAAAACCTCCAAGTCTCGCCCTTGGAGACTTTACTGCAGTAGATCAAAATGCTTCCCCATGAGAAAAGAAACCTGTTACCTTCCTGGTGCTGGTGTCAGGCCACAGCCTTCAGTGGAGGGAGCAGCAGAGGCTGTGACTGGAGCAGCACAAACAGCATCTTGGAGGGGAGGGAAATAGCTGGGCACATCATTTCCTTTTTATTATATTCTTCTGAGATAGTAGTGAACTTATCTGGCAGGGATTCAGGGGTATTTAAGGCGGTTTTATGGACATGCACTGGCTTCTAAGGGGTGAGAAAGGAAAAAGATTAAAAAAAAAGGTTGTGACACTGATTCTTCTTCCCTTTGGACACACTGAGAGTTTTATGGGCAGGAGCAGGTTACCCCTGCTTTAATGGAATATTTGACAGATTTGAGGGGCTTCACAAGTTCAGTTTCAACTGCTTTTCCCAGAAAAATGATGAAGAGTTAATAGAAAAGGCAGGAATGTTGTCTTGTCTCGTTTTGCTGGCTCTTGTGATTCACAGACTCTCGCAAGATGTCCAGGCTGTGTCCAGGCCAGCCCTGAAGCACACCCCACAGATTGGTGGGGACTGCCTCACCTGCAGGGTCACCAGCCTCGATTGGTGACCAAGCCCAGCTCTCCCTTGCACTCACCAGCCCCAGAGCCCCAGCAGGGAGAGTCCAGAGGGCTGGGAGGCTGCCCTGGCACCGGGGTGCTGCTCCCCTGCTGCCACAAAGGAGGGCTCCCCCTCCTCATCTGCTGAGCAAAAAGTTCATCCAGCTCAGCACAGGTGTTGTTTTTCCCTTCAGGCAGGACACCTCTGGGTGTGGTGAGCATGGCTGGGGTGGGTTGAAGACATGGGAGTTCAGTCCTTGTGATGCCACCCTGGTCCCTGAAACAGAAAAATGCTTCAAACAAGGCAGCTCCTGTGTCAGTGAGCAGCCCAGGGGTTCCTGCTCTCCCATTCTGTCCAGGAGGGGGATCATCCTTCCTTGCAGACCTTCCTTGTCCCTCTGAGGTTTCTGAGATCTGCTGGTGACTTTAGCCAGCCCAGAGCTGCCCACACAACATTCCTGGCAGTGTAGGACTGGGATGCTTTGGGCTGTGCTCCTGATGGGGCTGTCTTTAAATAGCAGAGAGCTAAATGAAAAAAATAACACAGTATTTGGCAATTTTCCTAGCAGGCACCCAGCCAGGCTGCTGTGCAGGCTGCTCTGAGTGCCTCCATCATTCTCCATATGGATTAGTGTTCTATGTTCTGACCTGCTGAGGATTAGCCTTACACCAGAGAGATGTCTCTGGGCCAACTCAACAGTTTCTTGCCAGATTTAAAGATGACACCAAGTTAAAGTAAACGTTTGCAAAGATCCTTGCCATGGTATAAAAAACTCTCTCCTCCTTCCCAGGCTGATGTGACATGCAAAGAAATTGAGTCTGCAGAAGATTCAGTGGTGCTGCAGCATCACGATGCTCCAGTGGTGGGTTTCTCATGACTGTTTGGGTGTTATTTGCCTTAAAATGTCATGGGGAGAGCAAAAGATGGGACGACCAGAGCACAGGGAAAGCTCTGTGTGCTTTCCCTATGCTCACTGGTAAATACAGAGGGCTATTCAGGAAACAACTTTGCAAAGGTACATTCTCAGAATGGCTCAGTGCTGGCTCCTGGGAGCTTTGTGGCTGAGCCCTCCTGAGTTATTGATAGGAGCATCACGTGGGAAGGTGCCAGCACCAAACCCCCAGGCTCAGCTCTGGGCATGGCCCTGCTGGTGACAGCCCCAAGGAGCAGAGGCTTTCCAGGGGAGCTCTGGAGCCTCCCTGGTTCCATGAGACCCAGGGGAATTGCTTTCGCAGAAAGCTTGGCCTTATCCCCCAGCTGTTAAAATTCAGTTTATGTCCTGAAATATGAGGATCTCTGTCTTCCAAAAGGCATTTACTGGTTTGTCACATTTACGGTCGTATATCTTGCTCCAGATGTTTGCAGAGATTACTTTGTTCTCTGGAGGAGAAAGTTAGTCTGGGCACAACAGCTCATGTGGCAACAGGCTGTTAGATGATTCCTCTGGATTGAGCAACTCACCTCCATAAATCATTATTTTTATCAAGAAGACCTGGAGAGCAGCTCTTCCCCTTGGCTCCCAGTGTGTGCTGTGGTCCCAGGAGATGAGTGGCAGGGCTCAGAGGTGGTGAAGAGTCCTTCTGCCTGGTGTGAGGGGGCCCAGGAGGGGCCCAAGGGAGGGGGGAACGTTCCAAACGGAGGGGACACAAGCACTGCAGTGTGTTCATGGTGGGAGCTGCTGCAAAGATGCTCTCTTGGGGTGCCTGTGCTGGTCTGGAAGGCAGAGAGTGCTGGGTGTGACTTCCCCCCTCACCTGTGCACATGTCAGACAGGACCTGGGGGCAGGGGGGGATGTGGGGCTTCTCTGGGTGACATCTGCAGTGTCCTCGGCTGGGCAGTGGTCTATAGGGGAAGGACAGGCTGGGTGATGGGCCTTGCAAAGAGTGGGAATGCTGGGGAGCAGAGTGGGTGTGAGGTTTGGACCTGTATGCACAGGTTTGCAAAGCAAGAGCCTCTGCCTTGGAGTGGCAGGAGAAAACACCTCTGTTGTTTGCAGGGGAGAAAAGAAAACAAAGAAGTAGTTTCAGTGTTAAGTCTAGAGAAGGAAAAACCAGCACATTTATCTTTAAATAAAGAGCAGCTGATTGCAAATATCTCACCTTGCTCTGGAATGAAGAGAGTGAATTACCCTGAAATTAGAAACAGGTCTCTGTGTGTGAGAAGGGAAGGAACTTCCCTCCACTTCAGAGGGAAGGAACTCATCTGCTTACCAGCCACCCTTCCCTGTTCTCCTGCCTTTTAGAGCTGGTGGTTCCTCTCCTGGTGGTTTAGGGGAAATCTCTGCATCCCCAGGAATTAGGGTGAGGTGAGCTCAGCTCATTCTCACGCCCAGCAGCAGCAGCACCATGACCTGCTGTGGCTGTTGGGTTCTCTTTTTGTTACTGGAGAACAGCATAAAGTAAACAGGGCTCACTTGTGCAGGCCCAGACAACAGAGAGCAGGTTCCTGCCCCAGAGAGCCTGTCCATGAACCATGAAGCTGGCCTGGCCATGTCAGCAGTCTCACTGTACCGTGACCGTGGGGAGAGCTGTGGCTGCAGCTCACAGCCTGTGCTGCTCTCTCTGGGGTGGCACTGCCATCCTGCAGCCTCCTCCAGCACACCCTGTTTGTCCTCTGGGCCCCTCTGCCTGCTCCTGGCTCGTGGGAGAGGCTCCCTCTCCATGTCCCTGCTCAGCAGTTCTGGAGCTGGGAGGTGCTGCTGAGGAGCAGATGGGAAACAGCACAGTGGAGCAAGGCTTGGACTCCACTACCAAACCTCATCTGTGCTCCCTCCCCTGGGGACAGAGCAGGGTGGGGATGAGCCCACGTGTTGGGGTCTGTCCAGATCCTGGGGGTGAGCCTGGGGCTGTGGGGTGCTGCTCCTGACACAGCTGTGCCTGATCCTGGAACACTCTTGGGGGGCTCAGGCAGCCAGATCTGCTTCCAGCTCTCCATTCCCAGAAAGTAGGGCACCCGTTTGTGAGTACCTAAGAAGGTTGAGTGGAGCGAGTGTGGCCTCAGCTCTCAGTGCCCCTGGCACAAAAATAACTGCAAGTAACCCAGTTTCAGCTGAAGTTCTTTGTTACTCATCCTCCTCCTCAATGAGCTGCTGAAAGGGAGGATGGTGTTTGCACTCCCCTTAGAGTCCTTAGCGATTTAGGTGTCATCCAGGCTTGCCTCAGTATCCCTCCCATGGGAAATGAGCCAGGGAGAAGGTGAGAAGAGCTGTTCTGAGGACAGTGTTAAAATGATTTAGCAGGTGTGAGATGTGGTGAGTAATGCAGGTGATGGCTGAGGCACAGGGGTGTGTGATGATCCACTTTGAAGAGGGCAGTTCTGAGAAGGTCAAACATGGGGTGTTTGTGCAGCCCCTGAGTGCTGTGGGAGGAGTGGGCTGGGTGCTGAGCCCTGCCAGGGGGGTCTGTGAGGGTGACAGTGGCAGCTGGTCCTGCCAAAACTGTGGCCAGGCACGAGTGGGGGGACCCAGGAGCCCCAGTGAAAGCCTCAGGCAGTGGCAGTGAGGGCAGCAATGGGGGGGGTGTGGGGGTTGTAAAATCTGTGCACCAAAATTGGTGCATCTCATGTCAAAACTGGCACATTAATAGGTTGGATTCAGCCTCATCTTATTCATAGACTTCTGATGACTCCAGAGGGCTGTTCCTACAGGAATGCAGAAAGTAACCCCTTGCAGGACAATAAATAAAGGCCACTGGCTGGTTTCCCCTGTGGGCTGCCTGTGGGTCTATAAGCTGCACCTCTCTGTGGTGTGCTGAGTCCAGTTTGGTTTGGAGCAGCCTGAAGAACATCAGATAAATCCTGATCCAGTAAATGTGTTCAAACTTGACAAGAAAAGTGATGATTCTTGGCTTGTCTGGCAAATGGGGCAGTGAAAAAAAGCTGTGGCCTGGAGCTGCACGAGCTGCTCTCTGAGCGAGTGCAGGCTGAGTCTGAGGTGTGGCTGACTCTCACCATAAGGAACTTCTGAATTTCCTGCACCTCCCCAAAACCCACAGCTGCACAAGGTCCTCTGTATAGGGAGTTGCTGGTCCCAGTTCTCTCCAGGCTGACTGCAGATACATCCCAGGGGACAGGGTGGCATCAGACTCACCTGTGGAGCAGCAGCTCCCCAACCCCAGTATCTGTAGATACAACAGACCCAACTGGTACCAATGGGTTGCACAAAAAATAATTCAGCCCCAAAAAAATCTGTAGAGCATCGTGGTTCTGAGGGGGCTGATAGGTGAGTATTGTGGCAGAAGGATCAAACTGTGGGGTTTGTTCTGGGAGAAAACCCCCAAAAGCCATGCAATGGCTGATGGGTGGGTGACGTTGGATGACATTGGATGGATGGGTGACATTGGATGACATTGGATGGATGGGTGACGTTGGATGACATTGGATGGATGGATGACATTGGATGATGTTGGATGACATTGGATGGATGGGTGACGTTGGATGACATTGGATGGATGGGTGACGTTGGATGACATTGGATGGATGGATGACATTGGATGATGTTGGATGACATTGGATGGATGGATGACATTGGATGACATTGGATGTATGGATGACATTGGATGACATTGGATGGATGGGTGACGTTGGATGACATTGGATGGATGGGTGACGTTGGATGACATTGGATGGATGGATGACATTGGATGATGTTGGATGACATTGGATGGATGGATGACATTGGATGGATGGATGACACGGATAGATGGATGACATTTAAAAAACAAGAACCAAACTCTCCAGGCTGCCCTTGGTGATCCCAAAAGAGCCCAGCCTGTCTCTCTGCTGGCACCCAGCACCCATGCTGTGTCTCTCTGGTGTTTTAGGTAAACAGAAGTACCTCTGTGCCAGCCGCAACGACTGCACCATCGACAAGTTCCGGCGGAAAAACTGCCCCTCGTGCCGCCTGCGCAAGTGCTACGAGGCCGGGATGACGCTCGGAGGTACGGCCAGGGTCCCCCCTGGGGCCCTCTGTGTCACCTGGGGGATGAACAGTCTGTAAGGGGCTGGAAAATGAGGCTGATGGATACACCCTCAGCAAACGTTTTCAGGGTTGTACTAGCAAAATGGGGAATTTCAATAGCTTTTGTTTGTGTTTCAGGAAAAGTTATTTTCCCCTCATTTCAAACCTTGTGAATCTAAAAGAGTTTAACAGCAGGGTGAGTTGGTTCTGGCTCCTGGAGCCTCAGAGCAGAGCACTCCCCTCTTTTGATGGGATTATTCCAAGGCAGAAAGGAGCAATTTCTTGGTGAAATTACAAGCTCAGTGTTTTCTTTTGCAGGATGGAAGCTGCTCCTGTGTCCCTGGTCCTCGTTACAATTTTTCTCTGTTCCCAAACCTGTAGCCCTACTAAAACTAACAGGGTGCTGATATCCAAAATCTGAGGTTTTCTGCTCATAGTCTATAAGCTAGTGTTGATCACTGGGTGTCTCCTTGTTGAGTACATTTGATGAAATTCTTCCCTGTGTGGTGAGGCCCTGGCACAGGGTGCCCAGGGAAGCTGTGGCTGCCCCATCCCTGGAAGTCTCCAAGGCCTTGTAAACTTGGACAGGGCTTGGAGCAAGCTGGGATAGTGGAAGGGGTCACTGCCCATGGCAGGGGGTGGAACTGGATGATCTTTAAGGTCCCTTCCAAACCTAAATCACACTGTGATTCTGTGAGGAGGAAAAAATCCTGGAAAAGGGCACTGAAAGACCTGCCCCGGCTGGGAAGCCCTGGATTGAGGGGGCTTCTGGGGCTGCAGAGAGGAGCCCTGGCAGTGCCAGGCACAGCACAGGGGGACAGAGGGAGCCCAGACTGCTTGGGTGTGTCAGCATTTTTGGGTTAAATCCTGACCCCATTGCTGGGATGGGCTGAGCCTCCAGAGCTGCTGGGCTGCAACAACACTGTCTTGAAGGACTTGTTCCTGAAGTGGCTCTGATTTGTTACTCACCAAGGAGCAGAGGCTTTCATTTGATTTCTCCCCAAAGATCCCAAAAGGCAGTGCAGTCCTCCCTCCCTTTCCTTAGCTTATTTTAAGTGCTTTTTTCTGGTGAAGTTTCCATAAGTAGGAGAAGACATACATCAGTGTAACCCTCTTCTGCAGGACACACTGACAAAATTAATGCTAATACGGATACCCCGCTCCCTTCTTTTTTTCTTCAGCTCTTTGGGTCACCCTGACCTGTTCTGCCTGGTCTATTTTACATTTGGTTTGGATGTCGGTGTAAAGGCAATTGTTACAAACAGGCAAGCTTGTGGTTGCCCACAGTAACCTCTCCCACAGCGGAGGCAGGGCGTTTGAAATCACTCCCAGGCTCCAACCAGTTGCTTTTAACTGGTGGTTAATTACAGTCCCTGATGGGGTACATCCCTGGTGCTCTGGTGGGGGAGGAGGAGGAGGAGAAGGAGGAGAAGGGGGAGGTGGCACACTGAATGCCTTCTGCAGGCTCTGCTCTGGAACAGGATGGCAATGTGTTGAAGCACTTCATTATTGATTGAGATCACAGTGACCTGCAAGCTGGTATCCACTAAGTAGGATCTTCTCTCTATAGAGAGGGAAAAGATACTGTAGAGAGGGAAAAGGAAAAAAAAAAAGAGCAAAAAGCCAGTGATAATGCTGTTTTAGTGTATTGGGTCCTAGTGGTGTGCTGGCCTGTGCCCACCATCCCACTGCACCTGTGCCTGCTGCTGGGGAAGATGCTGCAGGGATCCTGCCAGCCCTGAGCTCAGGAAATGTCCTGGAATGGGCACAGCTGCAGGGATCCTGCCAGCCCTGAACCTGGGAAATGTCCTGGAATGGGCACAGCTGCAGGGATCCTGCCAGCCCTGAGCCCAGGAAATGTCCTGGAATGGGCACAGCTGCAGGGATCCTGCCAGCCCTGAGCTCAGGAAATGTCCTGGAATGGGCACAGCTGCAGGGATCCTGCCAGCCCTGAGCTCAGGAAATGTCCGGGAATGGGCACAGCTGCAGGGATTCTCCCAGCCCTGAGCCCAGGAAATGTCCTGGAATGGGCACAGCTGCAGGGATCCTGCCAGCCCTGAGCCCAGGGAGCATGAGAGGTGCCAGGGGCTATTCCTGTGGGCACTCCAAGCTCCTGTGCCTGCAGCCAGAGCTGGCAGCCACCCGTGCTGCAACCATGTGGGTCCTGGCTGGAGCAAAACCACAAAACATGTGTAATTCCTTTCATTTTGTTTAGAGTAGGGCTAGAAATCTTCTGTAGTAACAGCCAAAAGCTTGTGAAAGTCCAGGCTTGAGGCATAGGTGTGTTAATTCAGTCCTAATTCAGGTGCAGCTGCTGGGGGCAGAGCAGAGCTGCTGTCTCACCACACAGTGGGTATTGACTCCAGCCAGGGGGAATTTGAAACAATTTTTGCAGAGCCATTGCAGTAGTTACAATCAGTGTTACAATCAGGCTGTACCTGATTTTTCATCTGGTCTGCTCTTGATTTACAGCTATTGGATCTTTATTACAACTTGGTTTGCTTGATTAAAACCCCTAATTTTATTGATTTTCTGTCCCTGCAGCGGGTATTTATCACCTGGGACTCAATAACCCTTTTGCCTCGTACACAGCCACCAAAGTGACATTCCTTACCTCCTTGCCCCAAGATGTGTTGTCAAATCTTCAGTGTCCTCATGGCTTCTGCAGCTTGCCAACACCTATCAGCCCTTGTCTGCTGACCTCAGTCCATCTGTTCTTAATGTTCATGCCCATTTTCCCATCCATACATTGCCATATGGGCTGGTTGAGGGAAAATGGTTAAGTCTGGTTTTGGGGTGAATGAGCCACCCTTGTAAGAAACAAACCTGTCTGATGTTGTTTCAACACAATAATTGCCTTGAGATGTATCACTAGGGAATTTGCAATAATTCAGCAGCACTATCTACTATTACATCCTTCAAGTTCTTTTCAGTCATGTAGACCTGATTGACTCAGATCTCTTAAATGTGTCTGCCACAACCAGTAATTTTATTATTATCAACTGAAATTGTTGTGCCAGACAAGATTGATAGCTTGACGGGTTCTGCTTTTGGCAAGCCTGGTGTGAAGTTCATAAAAACAGCAAAGGGCAGCAAGTTCTCAAACAAGTCCTGTTCTGCTCCTCACTGTCCCACTGGCAGCTGAGCTCGACGTGTGCTGCAGGATCTCTCCATTGTAGCCAGTGCAAGAGCAGCTTCTTCCAGGTCTCCATATCTTCCCTAAGTCCTGACATCATGAAAATTGGTGCTGGAGCCCAGAGTGCTCCTTCCTCAGAGCTTTAGAAAGGCCTGTAAGGGAGATGCTTAAAATGTGCATCACTTTGGCCATCACTCTGAGTGTGCTCCCGGGGGTTCTTGCACTGCTGAATATTTTATTGTGATATATAATTGTGTCCTTTAAGCTTTTTTTCAAATCCATCCAATAGTTCCCCAGAGACCCCCAGGCCAGCTTGCAGGGCTTGGGGCAGTGCTGTGCTGCAGCTGTACCTTGAGGCTCTCTGGGCCCCTTGTCCCTGCTGACAGCCAAGCAGGAACATCCCAGTATTAATCACATATCCTAAGGTTTCTCCCACCTTGGTTTGAAGAAGTGCAATGTAGACTTCTACCCAGCTTAGCTCATCCTAGAGTAAAAGCATTACAGATGTCTATAATTCCAATTTTTAAATTTTTGTTTATATTACCTGCTGAGTAGGAGCCACCACCACAAAGGGGTTTGGCACAGGTGATTGAGTAGAAGCCAGTCTTTACCTCTGAAGGTTTTCTCCACCTGGTAATGTCAGTATTTCAGTGCTCCTGGAATGCACAAACCCAAGGCTTGTCTGATAGCACAGCTAACACCCATTGTCACAGAGGAGTCTGGTTTGTGGCTGCAGTTTCAGAGCCAATGCAGTAGGTATTTTCTGTCTTCTCACTTCAGTCAGGATCTTTTCATACTAGATAATTAAATATTAAGGGAAAAAACCCAAGCATTTAAACCAAATGTGTGTTTTGTACATGTGAGCTTAGCTCACACACATGACCTGGGGCAGTGGTTATTTCTAAACCCAAACTCTGTCACAGGCTGCCCAAGTGGAGTCAGCATCCCTGGGGGGATTTAACAGATTTGTGGCTGTGTCACTTGGGGATTTGGGTTAGTGGTGGCCTTGGCAGAGCTGTGACTTTGGAGGCAAGGGAGAGGAGGCTGTATCAAACGAGTGGCTGATGGCCAGAGGCCATCACAGTGTGCTGCAGCACTGTTTTCCTCTTGCTCTCCTTTATTTGTATTAATCCTTTCTCCTCCCTTTTTACAGAGAGGCCTGTCTTCATTGCCCATAGAGCAGATCATACAGAGTACAAAAAAAAAAAAAAATCAGCATTTGGAGTTAATTTACAGAGCTGCACTTTGACTTGACATTTTTATGTTTTACTGCTTATTTTTCTAATTACAGCTGAAAGGAAATTCGAGATAAGTATCATATAATGAAGGAGCCAAAACCCCAAGGACAACTGGTTTGATGTTGTATTACCTGCTGAAGCCATGGGCTTTTGTTCTCTAATTAGTTGGGGTTTGGATTCGGTGAGGGGTGGCAGGAGCAGGCCACCTGTGCTGAGCAATGTCATGCTGGTATCAATGAGGGGAACATGGACTCTCCAAGACCTCTGGTATGACACCTCTGGAGTGCTGCAGCTGTGGTTAAGAGCCAGGTGTGTGGGGAAAACACCTTTTCATGTTGGGCACAGGCACAGGCACAGTCACCTGCTGCTTTGGTCCCCCTGCCAGCTGCCTGCTCTGCTGATGGGGCTCGTGAGGCTGCACAGCAGAGTGAGACCACCTGGCTTGGGTCCACTCCTGCTGGGTGGAGACTCCAGGAAAACAGCCCTGGAACCCCCTGCTGGCTTCTGAGATGTGTTTTGTGTAACATGTGTGCAGCGTGTTTGGGAGAGCCTGGCTGTGGGGCAGCAGGCATTGCAGGGAGGAGGCTTTTATCTCAGATGCATCCTGCTTCTGCCCTGCTCTGGGATGGCACAATCCCACTTGGGCATGCAAGTGCAATGTTTTTTCTCCCTGGAACATGGCTGTATGCTGAGTTTATCATCTCATGTTGCTCCTCTTTTTGATTGCATATGAGCAGTAGTTTGAGTTGAGTCAAAATCTCTTCTCTCTCTTCCCTGGATCTTCCTCTCTGTTTCTAAGTGGGAGTTAGAGACAAATCGTTGCAGGGGATGTAAATGATGTTGGTTTTTTTCCATGTCAGATTAACAACAAAATGGATTTTGTCACACAGTGTGTTCTCCTCTTAGGTGAGAGCTGCAATGCCAGGGCACTCCTTGGGCAGTGACCACTGAGGGACGAGCTGCTGCTGGTCATCACTTTTCCTTTCCTCATAACTACAACAAGAAGCCCTGACATGTTTTTAACATGTTTTTAAATATCACACTAAACTGCATCTTTCCCACAGCCCGCAAGCTGAAGAAACTGGGTAACCTGAAGGCCCAGGATGACATGGATGGAGCCAGCTCGTCCAGCCCAACAGAGGAGCAAGCTCCCAAGCTGGTGATGACACGAATTGATGGCTACGAGTGCCAGCCCATCTTCCTCAATGTCCTGGAGGCCATCGAGCCTGGGGTGGTGTGTGCTGGCCATGACAACAGCCAGCCTGACTCCTTCTCCAACCTGCTGACCAGCCTGAACGAGCTTGGGGAGAGGCAGCTGGTCTACGTGGTCAAATGGGCAAAAGCTCTGCCAGGTGAGAAGGAAAGCAAACAAATCCCCTGCAGCTCCAAAGCCCATGTGCACTGCTGGGGGCAGGTGCAGAGGGGGTGGTCTGCAGCCCCTGTCCCATCACACAGCTCCTGGGGGACCATCTCCATGGACAGTGTGTGTGTCCCCTGCCTGTAGCAGCGTGGGACTTGTCTCTAGAGGGGCTGATGATGGGAGAAGGAACTGAGGGGTGATGGAATGTGTTGTAATTATACTCTGAGTTCACACAGCCCCTGCTCAGTGATACCATGTGGGCACAGGGCACTTTCCCCCATGGCAGGGCTGCAGCTGGTCTGGGCTCTGGATCCTGCTCTTCTCCCCCTCTTTCCATGGAGGTTTTGCTCCACTTCCAAGCTGTGTCTGCCAGCCCTGCAGAAGTGCCCTCTAGACAAGGATCAGCCCTGTCCCAGAACACCCCTGAAGTGATGAAAAGGGTAAATAGCAACAACATGGCAGAAGAGCATTGCAGAATCCCAAAAGGCTTTTCCTGGCAGTCACTCAGGTTGCCCATGTGATGGCCTGGTGTGATATATTTGTGATGCCTTCAGAGAAGTAATAGGGGTCAGGAATTTTCCAGATTCTGGTCAGCAGGTGTAGTAAATGGAGCATCCTGGTGAATGATGTGTTCATTGAGCTGGATTTGCAAGGCATCTCTGCAAGGTTGGTGACATGCTGCCTGTTCCACCTTGTAATCCTGGAACTGGGTGAGTGGGATTGCAGAGGGCTGAGCTCAGTCTGGGCACAGCATCACCCTGCTCACCTCCCAGCATCCTGGAAACTGGGGCGTGGGGCCAGGTCCTGCTGCTTTCTCCTTTCTGGCCCCATTCCTCAGGGGACACCAGAGAAAGGAGGAACCCCACTCCTTGTATGTGTGGGGTGATACAGCGAGAGGAGGAGGAGACTGAGGCACAGTAAGTTTGCCACTCTCTGCCAAACCCTGGTGATGAGCTGTGGTCAGGTGTCTGACATTCCCAGGAGTTTAGCAGCCCCCTAGACTGGTGCTCCCAATGAGATATTGGTCTGCATACCCTTAAATGTAGAGTAGCCCATTCTGTTTCTGCTATTCTTGAGTCACTTGGCTTGTAAAACCAGGGACAAATCTTGCTTCCTCTTTGGCTTGTCTACACCAGACATCAGGATCCACAGAGACACCACCAAAGCCACCTGGCATCCAGGGCTGAGGCTCTACCACTGCAGTAGTGCTGATGGAAAGGGAGAGTGCTGTGGGAAATGTTTTCTATCATAACCAGCCCTTTATCAGAGGGTTTTTGCTCTCCTGAACTACACCTGATGCCCGACCCCTCAGTGTGTAGCAGTGTCAGCTGCTGCCCTGCTGCCCCTGGGGCCAGCACTGACTGTGCCAGGGTGGCATCTGGGCAAGGTTCATTCTCCAGCTTGTTTGCCTTGAAGAGCTCTCCAAAGCACAGAGATCCTTGCCTCAATGGGTTGTAATTATACTCTGGAGCTGTTAAATTGCTTTAATATTTGATTGAAATAATGTATGATTGCCTTGAAACTCAATTATATTTGCCTATTTACAAGTATGTTGAAAAAAACAGCATTGGAGGTGGTGTAAGCATGCCTGGGGTTTAACTCTGGGCTGCCATCTGGGAATGGTAATTTGAATTTAGTTGCTATTTTCGTTTCTCTTGCAGTGTAGCTGAGGTTTCCATGCTCATTCCCACAGTCAAGAGATCCATGCAGTGTGCATGGGGCAGAAACCAGAGCACCTGTAACAATGGTGGGAGGCCAAGGGGCTGTCTGCTGCCTCTGAGCATCACATTAAAGTCCAGTTACCTAAATTGGTGCAGTCCTAATGGAACTTTCTCTCCTCTTTGTCTCTGAAGTTCCCTTTCTTCCCTTCCAGGGGCAGCTTTGTGCTTGTCTATCCTTGATTCCCAGTCAAGGTGGGAGCTCCATGTCATGACTCATGTCCTGAGACACGAGCTGGCTGAGCTTTGGCTGTGGACTGACCACCTTGTCCTAAGAGAAGCGCTGCAGGAGAGCTGGAGTCTGCCTGGAAACTGCCCTGGAAACTGCAGGAAGCCCATAGTAATTTGTAACATCCCTCCCTCATTGTTTATTAGGATTTCGCAACCTGCATGTGGATGACCAGATGTCAATAATCCAATACTCTTGGATGGGCCTGATGGTGTTTGCTATGGGGTGGAGATCCTTCACCAACGTCAATTCCAGGATGCTTTACTTCGCTCCAGACCTGGTCTTCAATGAGTAAGTGTGAAACAACAACAGCCTAACTCTGGGCTTTGGGTCAGCCCAGGTGACAAGCTACACTTAGAGCAGTTACACTGAGCTGCCCAGCACAGCCCACCCTGGCTGTGCCCATCCTGCTCCCCACTGCCACCACCCATGGTGACCTCCAAGAGCAGTGAGAGCATTATGATGCCTCTCTGGGTCCTTCTGCCTGCACCCTCAGCTTTGCTGTGGGCTGATGCCCACCAGGGCAGCAGCAGAAGCTGGGTGAGGGAGTCCATTTCTGCCTTTGTGCTATGGGGTTTGAATTCCAGCTCTGTTGGGTAGCTGGGGTGAGCAGAGATAGAGATAAAATGTACTGTAAGGTCCTGGTGGGCTCTCCTTATGTGCCATCAGTTTAGAGCTGGGGAGGGTTTGCTGGCAGACAGATTGAGGAGCTTGAACCCAATAAGCAAACACAGCAGCAGCAGCAAATTCCCACCTGCCTGGGAGCTCCAACTCATCCTCATATCCCTCACAGACAGAAATGTTTGGGAAATCATTGCAGTCGCTCTTCAGACAAACGCTGCAAGTCCCTTGTAGCCATCTGTGTCCAGTGAGGATCACACACAGGCATTCTGGAAAATGCTCCACTCCTGCATGTGGCAGAACTCAGGCCCTTGTCAGCAGACTGTGCCAGGCAGGGGCATTTGCTGGGTCAGGGAGTGTCCTCCCTGTCACACACGTGCACGCTGGGCTCAGTGCCATCTGTGCCCGTCTCACCCTGCCAGGTACCGCATGCACAAATCCAGGATGTACAGCCAGTGCATCAGGATGCGGCACCTCTCCCAGGAATTTGGGTGGCTTCAGATCACACCCCAGGAGTTCCTCTGTATGAAGGCTCTCCTCTTCTTCAGTATTAGTAAGTATCCACACCATTCCCTCCACAGAGCTCCAGCGCCTTGAGGCATCTGGTGCTTTTCCTGTGCCTGGACTTTCACTTCCTAGGAGGAGGCTGGGGATGTCTCCTGCTTCAGCCTTCCTCCTGCTCTCCTATTGTTGTCACTCTCTGGACTCCTCTCACTGTTTCCTTCCCCTCCCACCCAGTTCCAGTGGATGGCCTGAAGAACCAGAAGCTCTTTGATGAGCTCCGCATGAATTACATCAAGGAACTTGACCGTATCATTGCCTGCAAGAGGAAGAACCCCACCTCCTGCTCCCGGAGGTTTTACCAGCTCACCAAGGTCCTGGATTCCGTGCATCCGGTAAGAGAGGACAGGAAAACGTCCATCTGTACACATAATGTCCATCTAAAAGCATAAGAAACAAAATAAAAAAGAAACTTCTCACAGAGAAAATGATCATTCCCTGGAGCAACCTCCCCATCATGGGAGGAGTTCAGATGCAATTGAAGAAAGCACTGAATAGTCTCATCCAGTTTTCCTTTCCCAGGGAAGGTGGGACCTCTGTCATGTATCTTCCCAGAGAAAGCAGTGCCCAGGGACTTGTTTAACCAGCTCTCTTCCTTTCCCAGATTGCCAAGGACCTGCATCAGTTTACATTTGATCTCCTAATCAAGGCACACATGGTGAGCGTGGACTACCCAGAAATGATGGCCGAGATCATCTCTGTGCAGGTTCCCAAGATCCTGTCTGGAAAAGTCAAGCCTATCTACTTCCACGCACAGTGATCTTTCAGAGGGACCCCCGTGCTGCCACCCCCATTCCAGCCATCTCCTGCCTGTTACTTCTGCACTACTGTCCTGCAGTGCCTTGGGGAATCCCTCTGTGGCGGTGGCCAAGGGGACAGGCAGTGACAGACCTGCTGGGATTCCTGAGATTACTATTTTCCTGAGGTACCTCTGAACTGAACCCCTGGCGCCGACCTCTGCCTGGCACCAGCTGCTGACGGTGATGGACAGGGACTGGTGGGGGCAGTGGCACCATGTCTGAGTGTTCTCCTCTGTTTGTCACTGTGACTCCAGCAGCCCAGGGCCACGGGACAGCAGAAGAAGTGCCAGTGGTTGGTGGGTTTGGGGTGATTTTTATAAAAAGAATACTACACAAAGCAGGTTGCAGCTCCGCGTTTGGGTGTGGGTTATGTCTCCAGCCTCCTTCTGGATGTTTTGTTTGCACTATGGTGCTGGGAAGCAGATAAGTTCAACATTGCAGAAGAGAAGCAGAGCAGAGCTGGGGGACAAGGCAAGTTTGTGGCTGAGGAGTTGACGGGCCCTGCAGCCACTGTGGGATCTGCTGTGGTCAGCTCAGCCCTGGGACTGGCCTGCACTGCTGAGACACGAGCGATGCAGAGGACAGGCTGCAGCACAAGGCCTCCCAAGGAAGATCACCTTGGAAATCCCCCAACGATGGCTGCCTCCTGTTTTCCACCTGGGATGTTTTTCCTATGGCCTGTCCTGCTGAGTCTTGGTCTGCCCTGCAGACCCCTGGGTGCTCAGCAGTCACATTCCTGTCCTTGCCAGCTGCTGCTCCCTGACAAAGCTGAACCCACCTCTGAAAGTGCCTGATGCCCTCGGACCTCACACCTGCCTGGCTCCCCTGGGCACCTGCAGCCCCTGCCCCCACACCTGCTCTGCTCCTGTCATGGCTCTGCAGACCTGGGATTCCAGCTATGCTCTTTCCCTTCATTTGTCCCAAATATTTTGTCCCAACTATTTTTTTCCAATGCCAGCAGATGAGTGTTCTGGAGCCAAGACCAAGGCCAGGGTCTACGGGACCTGTGGGACCATGGGACTCCTCTCTGAATCCTGCCCATGGAGAGGTGGCTGTGGGAACTGGCTGCTGCCACCAGGGCTCTTTGGGGGGCTGCAAGGGAAGCACCAAGAGATCCCCTGCTCTTGGAAACAGCACACTCAGCTGCTGCTGATGGCAGTGGCTGATTGCAGCCCAGGAGGACACCACCACTGTGCACTCACTGTCCCATATACTTGGTCCTGTATGCACCACACCACCCACACACCATCCCTGACACACCACCCACACCCCATACCATGTGAACTGCCCCACACACCATCCCTTACACACCACCCACACCCCATACCATGTGAACTGCCCCACACACCATCCCTTACACACCACCCACACCCCATACCATGTGAACTGCCCCACACACCCAGCCTGTCCCCAGCACACACACAGCAGCCAAGCCTCTGTGCTCTGTGGTGTTTTAATTGCCCTCTTCCTGCACATCCTGAGTACATCAAAACCACCTGCCCAGACCCAGACAGGCTGTCAGTGACTGCACACACACACACAGGCTGGTGCCAGGGTCACACATGCCATCATGGGCTGTGACATGGCCTGGCATTACCAACCCAGACATCTACGAGGGATTCTTGTGCCAGCCCAGACAAACAGCAAACTCTGCACCCTCCCAGGGCAGTGAGCACACCCAGAGCCCTGTGCCCACCCTGTGCCCAGCTCTCCAGGAAATGCCATCATGGTGCCGCTGCTCCTTTACACTCTTGGAGTAAAACAAACAATTCCCCTGATGCTTTCCAACCTTTTGATGGGATTTTCATTATAAGGAGTGGGGGAAAAGCCCCTATGGAGGAGAGGATCTTTCTTTGCAACGATTTTCCTTCTTCTGCTAGATAGGGCTCTGATCCTGCTCCTCCTCCTGAAGTCCTCTCATCAAGACAGGAACAGAATCCATAGGTGAACTTTCTGGCTGGCAGCCAGCAGGTTGCTGCTCTCAGAGGCCCCTCCATGCCAGGGGGCTGCTGGCATTTTCAGTGCTGCTGTGAGCTACAGATATTTGCAAATGAACCAGTAAAAAATACCAGCTGGTGCATCCCTGTCTTCTGGAAATTTCCCTGGCTCTTCACAGCAGAGCTCAGTGAGCAGATGAGTGGTGATTCCCAGTCCCTGTTATCAGCTCAGGCTCCAAGCAGTTGGAACAGCAATTTGGGAGAGCTTCGTGCTTCACACAGGCTCATGTCAGTGAAGGTTTGGTTGGTTAATGAGTGTCCTGCTGGGTGTTCATCTGCTGGGAGACTGAAAAGAGGCCAAACCTAACAGGGATTTGCCCACCCTGCTTTGCTGGTGGAAGCACCATGTGAATGAGAAGTGGGGAGCAGGGAAAGGATTCTGCCTGTGCCCCGTGTGTGTCAGCCAGCACAGCGAGTGCTGAGTGAGGCAGGAGCTCATGGGGAGCACCCCCAGCCCAGGACAGAGGGGCAGTCAGGGGCATTGAGGTCATGTTCTCTGTCTCTTCACTATCACAGTAAACTTCTGGAACTTGTTAATTCAAAAGTTGGGTTTTTACAATATGATTACCAGGAAATGTGGGAGCCAGGACTCGCAGCACCTGTGTGTGTATTTGCTGGGGGAATTAATGCTGTTTCCATGTGGATTTTCATGAGCTGCTGCAGGAACTGGGGAAGAAGAAGCTTTAAGAAATACCAAAGTCCAACTCCTGCCATTTATCTTTATGCTTTTTGTTTTCTTTTGCATTTTCTTGTCTACTTTTGCTTTAATAAAGCAAGGAGAATTTCACCGTGTTCACAGTCCCAAAGAAGCTGTCCCTGAGGCTCTCCTTGGGCTGAGCCCTGGAGTTGGGACTCCCTGGGTGTCACAGCTGAAGTCAACCATCTCCGTGTTCCCCTGTGGATTCCCTGACTCTGCTCTGGCTCATCTCAGAGGTGTGGGGGGTTCTGAGCTGGGTCCTGGCTCAGCCCATCAGCTCCTGCCCAAGGCAGCAGATGGAGGACAAGGGATACAGACCTTGGCATCTCCCTGGGAGCAGTGTTTGTGCATGGATGGGCACCATTCCATAACAGAGGGTGTCTGTGAGGGCAGGAGGGACACTTCTTCAGCCCTGTGTCATGCCAGAAGCAGTGACACAGATCAAATGGTGCAATGGCATGCAGCATTCCCAGGGCAGGTATCACCGACCTGTGCCCACCTGAGCCTGACAGGCTCCTGCCAGCACCCCCTGCCTCAGCAGGAGCAGGAACCAGGACAGCAGCTCTGCTTGGAGAGGCTGTGGTTGAGTCTGGAGAACTGGCAGCATCCACATGCCACTGCTATAATGGCCCTTTGTGCTTGGCTCAGGGAATGGGGTGCTCAGTGAGGGAAGTGAAGCTGGGCCAGGACCCTCCCTGCAGTACCACTCTTTGCTCTGGGCCATGGAGTTGTCCCTGTGGTCTGTAGGGAATGCTGAGGGTACCCAAGGTGTCACCTGCCTCCCAGCCAGCCCAAGAGCTGCTGCCCTCAGTCACCTCCCAGCACTGGCCAGCCCTGCAGTCCCTGTGGTGTCCCTTCCCTTGCTGAGCTCTTGCCCTGGATGTTTCAATAACATAATGTATGCTAAAATTATCTATCTCTGTATAAAATAAAGGCATGGCCCATTTTCTATTGCTAAAGATATCTATTTAGTGACGTGCTCTAAGAATCCTCTCTGGTTGCACACTGAGGTACTGGATGCTCTGCAGGACATGAGTCAGAACGTGCCAATTTAATGGAGACTTTTAATTATTTTTCTGGCTGGGTGCTGCCCAGTTTGCAAAGGTCCCCCTTTTTGTGGCATGCACAGAGCACACACTAGCATAGGCTGGGGTCAGCATCACCTTCTCCAGCCTTCCTGTGTCTTCTTGAGGTTAGACAGGGACAATGTTTGCATTGGGGAACAACGGAGTGTCCCTTGTTTCTTCCCTCTTTGACTTGCACCAAGTGTCCTCACACATTTGGGCAGAATGCTGGGGTCACAGAGAGTGTCTGTGTTCCACCTGTGTGCAGGCCCAGGGCTGGCTGTGGGCACTGGGGGTGGCTGTGGGCAGGCAGGGTGTCCCAGCCCCTTCGGGTGGGTCAGAGCCTCCCCTGCCACTGGTGCCTGCTCCCTGTGCTCCTTCCCTTCAGCAGCAGAGGGATGCTGTGCTTGTGACTCACAGAGTAAATCTCTGCACCCACATAAACCCTTAGCAAGTGGATAAAAGCTGCTCTCTGTGCCGGATATTTGGTGTTCTGTGGCAATTTTATGCTGTTTCTCTTTGTTAACATGTCTCTGTAATAATAAGAGTTCTCTATTTGATATATTTTACTTTCTTTGTAATAAGCCAAAAAGCTCATTGCTGGTGCCTTTTTGCCTGGGGGGGCCTCCCAGCCCACAGCTGTGTTCTTGGGAGTAACAAAGGCCGGTCTGCAATTGCTCCTTCCACCAGAGCTGAGGGAAAGACAGAAGCCAATGCCACAGCATTGCCAGAAAAAAAAAGAGCCTTGGAATGGCAGAGAGACTTTGGGGTATGATGCTGGTTCTTTCCTGGGGCCTGGCTCCAAGGTGAGGGCTGACCATGATACTGGGCACGCCTTGGCCCCATTTCCATGGGGCTGTGACCCTGGAGACCCCACAAACCATATGATGCAGGTGCAGAGCACACAGCCTGGTCTGGCCCAGTTTGGAATTGCAGTGCTTTGCCCAAATTATAGCATGACCTGAGGGTAAATTATCCCAGAGAAGGAATTAGATGGATTGCTGACACAGCTGGTTTTTCTGGGTTTTTCTTTTTTTTCTTTTTTTTTTTTTTTTTTTTTTGGAACTGAATGCATTGGATAAGGAAGAGAGAGCCCCAGAGTGTTTTGGTAGGACTGGACTGTGGTGACAGATGCTGCTGGGGCCAATGGGGTGCAGTGCAGGATGCCCTGGGAACAACTGCAACTCACAAGTCCCCATGTG